GCTGCCATTGTTGTGCCTTCAATGGGTGGGGCTACACTTGACTTTCTAAGCATTACTTTCCTCCTACTTTCCTCCCTTCTCACTTCCGAAAATACTTCCCTGATTGTTTTAAGAGGTTTGGTTTCAATGATTCTCCCTCAAACTTCATCAAGTTCTGTGTTCAACTCCAATAGGAACTGTAGATCCTATCTTTCTTCACCAATTCTCTATACTTCTTCTTATCCTCGACACAACTCCATTGAACGTCTTCATATATGTTTAGTTGCTGCCAATGTCGGCTGAGTGTATTAAAATACCCAATGACTGAGAAATCACCTTGTCGCAGTTTATGGAGTATGCTTTTGATCTCAAAAACCGCAGACGTATTGTCCACATTTGAGTAGGTTTCTTTCACTGCATTCCACATCTCCTTGACAGTGTTATAGTACATGAAATTCTTCCCAATTTCATTGGTCATGGTGTTGAGTAACCATGACATGACTAAACTGTTTCTAGTTGTCATTTGTTGAGGTTAGGGTCACCCTCTACTGGACACTTGGAGTCTTCGATGATGTAATCTTCCTTCCCTTTTCCTTGAAGGAAGATTTTAACTGAATGCACCCATTGAGAGTAATTTTGGTCATTCAATTTGTGACCAGTGATAGGAAGAGCAGGTCCTTCGACCAAACTGGTGGTTGAACTTCTTGCCTTGTTCTCTTTTATGGTTGGCTGCGCTAGATTAGGGATGGTGCAAATCGAACTCTCATACCATGCGAAAAATATATTGTGTATTTCTTATTTTGGAAAAGATACAAATAAAATACAAGGTAATAAACCTATACACTAATCTATCCCTGAAAATCAAGAAAATATTCTTCCTATAAATATTGTACATAACCGCATAAATAACAAAATAAAATTGATTATATTATCATTAAATCCTATCATAGAATTATTCTAATTGATAGTTCTAATCTTTAACATAAATTATTATTTTTTTAAATAATTAATTTTTTATGAAAAGTAATAACAAAAATAAGCTATTCTACAAACTGATTCATATCAAAACATAAAGTATTAAAAAACATGATTAGTTTACATAATTGTTTTGTAAATATTAAATTTTTTTATCACTCTTCAAATAAATTTCATCAGATATAGCGATATTTCATATTGTTACTATCTAGAAAGAGTTCTTTATTTGAAATTCGGTTGATTTATACTTATTTTTATTTATAAGATCTTAACAAAAAAATTCTTCAATAATTCATTTTAAACAATCGTCATTGAAAAAAAATAATATAATTATTATTGAAACTATGTAATATATTTACCATATAAAATATTTATTATAGAATAATTATTTATTATAAATTTAAAATAAACATTTATTACTATATATATATATATATATATATATATATATATATATATATTTAAAGTTCAATTTATTGAATTTTTAGTTAAACTTTACTCTTATAAAAAAAGTTACCTAATTTAATACCTATATAATTAATATAAAACTTTGATAATTACAAGTTCTGAAGAGTAATAACTAATATGGTATTTTCAAATTTATAAGTAAGAATCAATTAAAATTGTAGTTTTTTTTATCGTTATAAATTCATATCTTGATTACAATAACTTGAAGAACATTCAACATTATTTTTAGTTTCAAAACCTTTGGACCACCACGAAATGCGACCGTCGCAACCCATTGAAGAAGTTCATTCAACAATGGAGTAGAAGAGGAATTGAATTACTAGGTGAGGATAAAAATGGTCCTTTTAAAAATGATAGAGGTGAAGGTAGAAACAAGAGCCAAAATGTTTGGATTATGAAGAATAAGATTGAGGTTTTTCTTCCTGCACCCCATAATTTCTCCCTACACCATAATATCCCAAGTTAAAAACCTAAAATATCCTTCCAATATTTTTGTTGGTTAGTCTTACTTCTTCTTCTTCTTCTATTTGGCTAAAAATTATGTACTTCCATCCCTTGATTTTATTTGCTATCACCTCCATATTTTTTAACAATTAAAGGTAAGTAATCATTAATTTTATGTATAAATTACATGTTCCTATATTTAAATTGCACAAACAGACCCAAACTGCACAATATGCGAAAATGAGTTTAAATTTTGGAAAAGTCAATATGAAAATGCATTCTAGATTGGGTGTTCCAAAATATATTTTCGGAAAGGCCAATCCGGAAATGCATTTTGGAACACCTAATCTGAAATGCATTTCGAAGATATTTTCTTCCTGTTTTGATAGTTTTTTCTTTTTTTTGTGCAGTGTAATTTTGCATTATGGTTAGGACTAAGGGAGGTGGTTCTCAATCAATAGATTGTGTTCGCCCAACTACTTTTATAAGGCATAGGGCTCATGGAGAATAAAGTGTTATTAATCCTCCAATGAAGAGTATCAAAATCCTCCCACATGATCAATTTTTTCCAGAAGGACTTGTAGATTCTTCTTTACTAATCAAATATGAAAATCATGTCACCCATAGTCTATGGGAGGGAGTGATAAATGTCTTTCATATAAGTTAGTATATATAAAGATTAATGTTATAAAATTTAAACATAAGGTAGTGTATCTTGTAGGATCGTGGGAGTTAAAATGTGTTTCACATGGAATAAAAATGAATAAGTTGGGGTCTCCACACTTACAGATAGCAGTTATTATTCAATTATTAGGGTTCGAAGAACTTGTGGGTGTTAGTTATGAAACGGTAAATAAGGAACTATTATCTGCATTGGCTAAGAGATGACATTGTGAGACTAATAGCTTCCATATACCCATAAATGACATGACCATCACACTAGATGGTGTGTCTTCATTATTGCACCTACTAATTGTTGGTTAATTTTGAGATAATAATTACTTGGAAGCACATGAAGAGGTTGATGTGCTTGTAGATCTCTTAGGAGTTGATTTTGAGATGACTTCTACGGAGACGAGACATTGTAGAGGTGGACATGTTCATCTTAATTAGCTACAAGAAGTGTATGATGATGTTTGTACATATAGAAGATGGAGAATTATAACTAGAGCTTATTTGATGCATCTAGTGGGTTGTACTATTTTTGCTGACAGAAGTAGAACCTCCATTAGTATATCATATTTTGGTTTATTTCGAGATTTGACTATTAGCGTATCATATTTTTATACTCATAACATTATTTTCATTGTTTTCCTTTAAGGAACGTAGAATATTTATAGGCTTTATCAAGCTCTTTGTCATATCAACTAGCATGAACTTTTCATTACATGTTAATCTACCAAGATATGAATGACCTACTAACGTATCAGGTAAGTAATGATTATGACTTCCACAAACTAATTTCAGAATTTGTCATTTACCATCCTTTATAGGTTTTCCCCATAGTTTAAAGGGACACTTACATTTTCTACTTTCTATAACAGTTGGCTGCAAAATCTTTTGTATATTTCCTATATTTACCACAGTTTCACAACTTAACAATACATATGTCTTCCTTTCTTGATGACTATCTTGTATCCGACCTGAGTATAACAACCACAAATCCAAACATAAATGCAACATCTCGAACCCATTTCAACAAATCATCTTCTGTGGAAAATATCTATATCAATGAATATAAAATCAATACATGTATAATTTATAAGTTATATCATTAATATATAACTAAAATTTCACCTTATCCATTGTGAATGCATCAAGTACAATCAACTAAATCAAGAATGTGATTGTCTATATTATCTAAACCCATTAACATGTTAACTTCATCTGACATATTATTATTTAATAAATCTTCCTTTATTGCATATGCAAGCAAGAACTTCAAAAACTATAAATTCAACACTACATTATTTATAGAATACATTTCTGGAAATGATTTTCTGAAAATACATTCTGAAAAACACTTTCCATAACTTATTTTCCAACAAAATTTACCAGTTTTCTCACCTCTTGCAATGTGTTTCCAGCCACAAAATTTGTTATATGAATACTATACATGATAGAAATCTGATACAAAATAAAAAAAAGGGACATTCTTACCTATTTCAGGTAATTTTTGGAATAGTAAGAGAGGAAAGAATAAAAATGTTGTTGTAGGGCTTACTAATCAATCACTAAACAAAACCATAAATAAACAATGATAGCGGTTGAAGATAAAGATAAGTGTAAGAGTAAAATAAGTTTAATTTAATTATAGGGGTATAGAGAGAAATTACGGGGTGCAGTAATCAACAACCTAAAATCGAAGAATAAGCCTAAGAATGTGATTATCTATATTATCTAACCTCGTTAACATGTTAACTTCATCTGACATATTATTATTTAATAAATCTTCCTTCATTGTATATGCAGGCAAGAACTTCAAAAATTATAAATTCAAGACTGCATTATTTCTAGAATACATTTCTAGAAATGATTTTCTGAAAATACATTCCAAAAAACACTTCCCATAACTTATTTTGCAACACAATTTACTAGTTTTCTCACCTCCTGCAATGTGTTTCCAGCAAAAAAATTTGTTATATGAATACTATACATGATACGAATTTGATACAAAATAAAAAAAGGACATTCTTACCTATTTCAGGGAATTTTTGGAATAATAGGAGAGGAAAGAATAAAAATCAGTCACTAAACAAAACCAAAAATAAACAATGATAGCAGTTGAAGATAAAAATAAGTGTAAGAGGAAAATGAAGGTTAATTTAATTATAGGGGTGCGGAAAGAAATTACAGGGTGCAGTAATGAACAGCCTAAAACCGAAGAATAAGCCCAACTACCGAGTTTAAAGAAAAAAACAAAAAATAAAGCTTCGTGTAACCGAAGGAGATGAGAAGTAGGATAAAATAAAACTAGATTTGTGGAGGTTGTGCAAGCTGACCGTTGACAGTTGTTGTTTACGCTACACTTGGGCGTAGTCCATGTAGTAAACGTCAGATAATATTCCGAAGATAGGGAGAAAGAAGAAAGGAGAGACGGGGCTGATCTGATCTGGACCAATCATTCCATACAGATGGCTTCTACTGAGGGTCTGGTGCCCATAACTAGGGCCTTTCTGGCGTCTTATTACGACAAACACCCTTTTACTCCTCTATCTGCCGATGTCTCCCGACTTTCCTCTCAGATTCGTTCAATGGCTGATGATTTGCTCAGTCAACATCCTCCTATCCAAGGTTTCTTTCCACCCCCTTTGTACTACGTGCTTTCAAGTGTTTGGTCCGTTTACAATGATTTTTTTCTTCGATTGTCAAGGGTATAAACTTTTACAAAGTCGCGAGATTCCAGGAAAGCTATTCTGCTTAGAAATCATACATTCTGGATAAGAAATCTGTGTTTTCATATTTTGGTTTTAAGGGGTTATTCAAAGTGGGCTTCAAGAGATATATAAATAAGTAATTCCGCCATAATGTAAACATTGCATTGTTGCTCACCAAACAGGTATGGAGATATAATTTTTTATGCTAAAAATAAAACAAAAATTCTTGTGTATTCTATCTCCACCTTCTTCTTTGACTGTTTTGTGTTGAGGTCAAATATTTTGCTTAAGAACCTTATGTGGTTGTTGATTTACTCCAGGAGAAAGCGTCTTAATAGATGAAGCTGACAGGCTACCTCCGCATAAAATTGATGAAAACATGTGGAAGAACCGAGAGTATATTGAAGAAACAATTTTTTTACTTGAAAGTTCTAATTGGCCGGAAGTGGTATAGTTTTTTAAATTCATCTTCCCTTTCTTTATCTGACATTTATAAAGGTGTTGTTTCCATTGCATGAATACAGGACATGATAAATTCAGAATTTCCCTTCAACATTTCATTCTAACAAGCATTTTATGGATGCAGCTGAAGCAGCAGTCAGCACCTGACAGTGATGAGTTTGCCGTTACACTTGGGCAGCTGAAAGATAAACTTCATAATACATTGAAGGCTTTGGAATCTTTCCAAATTAAAAATGCTGAACATGTATTTAACACAGGTACCACCTTACCGTTGACATGAATGCTTGTTTTCAATATATAACAAGCTTCTAATTTCCTGAGCATCAATTTCAATTGGTTGTAGTAAAGTTCATTTTGCTTGTCTTTTTTGGCTTTTGTTTCCACCAGGCAAATTTCACTCAAGTTTTCTCTAAAATACTCTTTCCCTCCTTAAAATCTCTAGATGTGTTTATAGGGATATAAGGATAGATATGGGAAAATTATGGTAGATTTAAGAAATGCAAAGAAAAAGTCCTTGTGGAGTGTCTTATAGGAAAAGAAATGTAAAAGGCTAAACCTATTTGAAAAAGCAGTCTCCTCTTTGAACTGGCTGGATATTATACTATAGGATTTTTAGTTTGTTCAATAGTTAATGTCTAGAAAAGTACTGAACGATATGTAAAACTCTACTATTATTTATGTTGAAATTATGGGGTATTTGGGATCGAGAGAGGAAGAATGCTAAAAGAGAATGAATAAAAAATTATACTAATCATCCTAACTAATTAGGGAAACTGTTGGTAATGTGAATATGCAGCAGAAGGGTAGAGATAATGTGACGAAATTAAACTAGGTCATAGAAGAGCGTAACAGAGATATGCTATGCTAACTGAGAGATAAATTTTTAATTGATTCAAAACGTGCATATATAGCTGTACACGATTTATATTTACTAGATTGATATTAATTAGTTGTATCTATTTGAGTTGTCTTCTAGATGTAAATCTTTTCATCTCCCCTCTGAACAATGTATCTCTACAACCTTCCATTATAAATATGAGGTGATTTGAGTTGTGGAGACACCCAAATATTATAATATTTCTCTTTTTTCCTCTCAACTATAGCCAATAAAAGAACTGACCACTAATACACCAAAACCACTATTAGAAATTGAGAAAATTTCTCTCCCCTAAAAAATTAGGAAACTAACTTATTCAAAATATAAATAAATAAATAAATAATTAAGAATGTTGCAACAGTTCTAAACACAACAACTAACAGAAAGAAAACATATAGTAAATATGATAATTAATCCTTGGAGATGATGAGGAATTGTTAGGAAGGAAGTTGGACCTAAATCCTTGTTTGCATGGGTATCAAACTCACGAGTTAACTCGTTAACTTGGATGAGTTTACGAGTTAGAATAACAGCCATGAGTGAACTTGTGTGTAAACTTGTTTATGAGGTAAACTCATGCCGACTCAAGTAAACCTGGCCGGACTCACGAGTTCACCATTGAGTGAGCGAGTTAGATCACATCTTCTTCATGAGATTAAAAGGTGTCTTCCTTCCCATTTCATTTCTTGTGTGTCTTCTTCCCCTAGTCTTACATCTCTGTGTGTCTTCTACCCTTCCTTCTATTCATTCTCCATAAACCATTTTGTTGAGTATCCACACATGAACTTTATGAATAATACCATGTTACTGATGATAATAATTCAATGCAGAATGGTCGTATCCTTGGCCATTGTCTGTTCTAAGCACCTTAATTTTGCATTGAAATTGTGTCTACACCATTTTATGTAAGGTTTCAAATATCCTTCCAACTTCTAGGTTATCTTCCATTAGGAATACCCATGTAACATGAGTATGATCGTCAATGAATGTGACAAACCATCTTGAGCCAGTAATGTCGTTGATCGAAGATGGCTCATACATCAATGTGAATTAGGGAGAATGGTTGGTAGGCTGAATTGGATACGAGTTGTGGGTGTGTTTGGACAGTTGGAAAATTTCAATTTGAAAATACTTTTGATTTTTATTGAATAATGAAGGGAACAATTTTCCCATGCTGGATAATATTGGGGTGGCGTAAATGATAATGCCAGAACATTAGAGAATTCTCACTGCTTGGAGCAACTACTGCACATGAATTTTCCTTGGAACCCTTCGTTGAATTTTTAAATTGAAGGACGTAGAGGCCAACACACTTCACCATTGCCAACCATCTTCCCCCACTCCAAAATCTGAAATTCAAAGAGGTTAGGGAAAAATCTAGTGACACACTTCACATCTCTTGTCAATTTGCTAATGGATATCAAGTTACAATCAGGTTTAGGCACATAAAGGACTGAACCCAATGTGGTAGTTTTTGAGATAATAACATAACCTTTACCCATAAGCTTAGAGAGTGTACCATCAACTATTCAAATTGTGAAATTATTTGAACAGGAAGAAATGCTACTAAACATAGTAATGTCACCATTCATATGATTCGAAGCTCCTAAGTAATGATCCATGATTTTGGTTTCTTTATTGATGTTTAGAGCATGCAAGAAATGATCTTTTTGTACCACAACTGAGTTAGGGTGTACCTCAGTTTCCTATTGGTTGGATGCTGTGTTGCCTCTCCTTTCCTGTTGACTTGTACTGTTGGACCCCTATTAGCAAGACAAATCATTGAGCTTACTTGCACTAATATCTGATCATAATCCAAACTAAGGAAATATGGGAACCAATCCTAGGAGATGATATGGAAACTGATCTTTAAAACATTAAAGTATAATTGAAATATTATTGTATATTTTTCATATATTCCAATGTTCCATTTTCTTCTCTAACTCAACAAAATTTATATGCAGTTATGACTTATTTACCTCAAGATTTTCGAGGAACACTAATTAGACAACAACGGGAGCGGTCAGAGAGGAATAAGCAAGCAGAGGTGGACACTTTGGTAAATTCTGGTGGTAGCATACATGACCGATATGCTTTACTGTGGAAACAACAAATGGACCGGTGAGACTTAACCCATATCTGGTTGGTTGTTCATGAATTGATGAGAAAGATATTAAACAACTTACTTATTACAGGAGAAGGCAATTAGCCCAGCTTGGCTCTGCAACAGGAGTATATAAAACACTTGTAAAGTACCTTGTTGGGGTACCTCAGGTATGGCTATCTTAAATGGTTAATACATGGCTGTGCTGGCTTGTTATGTTTTTTCCTGTTTGGTGTCCATTCTTTCATTCTGTCTACTTAAATCAGTTTCTGCAACTGGTTTTAGCTTATGCATAATATTCAATGCTTTCAAATAACGGGGCTAGCTCCATCTTTCAGGTTTTTCTAATCATTTTGATTTGTTACTGATAACATCATCTTTATTTTTCTGATTAATTTTTTTGTATTTGAATTAAATTCTATGTACTTAGATAGGTACTGGTTATCCTAACTCATTCTAAGACATTTTTCTGTGAGCTGTAGGTATTACTTGATTTCACTCGCCAGATAAATGATGACGATGGGTACAAAATTATTGTTTTAGATGTTGTTCAAGTTTTCTTTCTTCATATGATAATAATTAATAATATATGAGTAACATTCATATGAGAACACTTATCTACTGGTAGGCCCATGGAGGAACAACGCCATCGATATGGACCACCGTTATATACCCTCACCTCGATGATTCTTTCTGTTCGACTCTTCCTTTCAATATCATGGGCACGATATGATACTAAGAAGTTGTGAGATATCTTTCTTCTTTGGTAGTTTAATTGTTGGGTTTTATGGTTGATTTTTGTTGATATATGAATTAGTATCTATTATTAGAGTTTATTACAGTTATTAAAATATTATTATAATTCATATTGTTATAAGTTTAGTAGGTTTTATAAAGAAAGGAAAAAAAAAAAAAACAGAGGCTATATAATATGCAGAAGGTACTGAATGGGGAAAGTATTATTCATCAGCACAGTACATTTATAATAATTCAATTGAAACAGAAAAGTTAACCTTACCAAGATTTTAGCTGTCTTGGATAACTGACTACTTGGTCCTTAAGTGTAGGAATGACTTATTGACTAATTAAAAAAAAAAAAAAAAAAACTGAAACATTAAAAAGATAAAAAACAGAACAGGCCACGTAAGGGAGGTCAAAGCAAATAATTAATACTCCTCCTTGATTTAGGATCGGCGAACTCCAATCTTTTGTCTTAAACAACTCAAACTTACCCACAGGAAGTGGCCTGGTGAACAAATCTGCCAATTGATCTTCTGAATTCCAATAAATTTGAGAGACTTTTCCTGTTTGCTGCATTTCTCTTAAAAACTAAAGCTTGGTGTTAAAGTGTTTTGTTTTCCCATGACATATTGGATCTTTTGATATTGCAATTGTTGCCTGGTTGTCAATAGAGATTTCATTTTTGTGATTCTGCTGCATATCTAAATCACATAAAATCTTTTTCAACCATAAAACTTGATTTATTGCTGCCGTTGCTGCTATGAACTCAACTTCAGCAGTAGATTGTGCTATAGTCTCCTACTTCGTGCACCATGAGAAAATTCCTGATCTAAGGCAGAAATAATATCCTAAAGTACTCTTCATATAATAAATAGATCCTGCCTAGTCACAGTTAGAGAATCCATGTAACTTGAATTCTTGACTTCTCTAACTTGACTCCATAATCATTAGTGCCTTTAATATATCTTAATACTCTCCTTATTGCTCTTAAATGAATTCCACTGGCACAATGCATAAATTAGGATAGGTGACTTAAAACAAACAAAATATTTGGTCTTGTTGCAATGAGATACATAAGACACAAAATCAAGCTCCTATAGTATCCATCATCAATTTTATCAACATCATCTTCCTTGCTCAACTTCTCTTTTTGATTGATTGGTTGGCTAACTGCTTTGCACTCCTCCATTTGAAATTTCTTCAGTATTTCTTTTGCATATTTTTCTTGACAAATAAAAACACCATCATTACTTTGTTTTATCTCATGTCCTAATATATAGCTCATAAAGCCAAGATTTGTCATTTCAAAGCCTACATCATTTCTTGTTTGACTCCTCATCCATATCTCATCTCTAGTCACCAAAAGATCATCAACATAGAGGGAAACTATGAGAAGGCTACTTCTCTTACGTTCACATAAGAGTGGATTCAGATGAGCTTTTTACAAATCCTATGCTTAAAAGATGATCAATTATCCTATTGTGCCAGACCCTTGGTGCTTGTTTTAGGCCATAGAGGGTCTTTTTGAGTTGTTATACTTTGTCTTCTTCACCTTGTGTTACATATCCTACTGGTTGTCCACATATATTTCTTCTTGCAAGACTCCGTTTAAAAAAGTGGATTTGACATCTAGTTGGAATACTTTCTAGCCCTTGACTGGCAATAGTTAGCACTAATCTAATTATATCTAATTTGAACATACACAAAAGTATCAGAATAATCAACACAAAAAACAAGAAATTGAATACCAGGCAATGATGTCTTTGTGAGCTTATGTGGGGAAAACAGTTCCTCCAAGAATTCAACTTTTGTAAGGTTCAACAAATGAAAATATATTGTGATAACCAAGCTGCTCTCCTTACTGCCTCAAATTCAGTGTTCCATGAGAGAACAAAATATATAGAAATTGATTGTCATTTTATTCGAGAAAAACTGTTGTCCAAAGATTGGCGGCAGTGACAGTAGTGGCGACTGGTAGTTGATGACAACAACTAGCGGTTGACAATGGCAATTGGTGGTGGTCGGCAGCAACTGGTGGTGGGTTGAGTAGAACTATAACAGACATAGCAGGATAAATCTTCTCTGATACCAACTTGAGAGAAAATAAGAGAAATATTATAATATTTGGATGTGTCTTCATAACCCAAATCACCTCATATTTATAATGGAAGATTGTAGAGATACATTGATTAGAGGGGAGAGGAATAATTCCAACATTCACAAAATAAGTTTAGTTAAGAGAGTAAAGAGAATGAAAAGAAGATTTCTAATTTTGTGGGATGCTTCCTCCACTCTATGATCTCATATATATATATAGGATTACAACATTTAAAACAACAACCACTAACTACTAACAACCACCAACCACCAACTACTAACTACTAACCACTAACCATTAACTAATAATAATTCTAACACTCCCCCTCAAGCTGGAGCATACAAATTGTATGTACCAAGCTTGGAACAAATAAATTCAATTCGAGGTCCTCTTAAAGACTTTGTCAACACATCTGCAAGTTGATCATTGGACCCGACAAATTTAGTGCAAATTTCTTTAGACAACAATTTTTCACGAATAAAATGACAATCAAGTTCTATATGTTTGGTCCTTTCATGGAACACCGGATTAGAGGCAATGTGGAGAGCTGCTTGATTGTCACAATACATCTTCATCTGTTGGATCTCACAAAATTTCAGTTCTTGAAGGAATTGTTTCACCCACACTAGTTCACAAATGAGAGATGCCATTGCTCTATATTCGGCTTCGAGCACTAGGCCAGGGCCACTACATTTTGTTTCTTACTTTTCCAAGAAATAATATTGCCTCCAATGAGAACACAATATCCTGTAGTGGAGCGTCTATCCATAGGGGATCCAGCCCAATCAGCATCACAATACCCAGATATTTGGGTACCCCCTTTATCTTCATACAATAGACCTTGTCCTGGAGCTTTTTTGAGATATTTTAGGATGTGAACGACAGCATTCCAATTATCAGTACGCGGATTTTGCATAAATTGACTCACAACTCCAACGGCAAAAGATAGGTTAGGTGCGGTAATGGTGAGATAAATGAGTTTCCCAACAAGTCTTCTATATCTCTCGAGGATCGAGAGCGGTTCACCTTGATCCGCCATTAATTTCGATTTGGATCCATAGAGGTCGTTTAATGGTCTACAATCAATCATGCCTGTTTCTTTCAAGATATATAAAACATACTTTCTTTGGGAGACTACGATGCCTTCTTTTGATTGAGCCACTTCAATCCCTAGAAAGTATTTGAGACAACCAAGATCCTTAGTTTGGAAGTGATTGCATAAATGTTTCTTTAGCAAAGAAATTTTATCAACATCATTCCTCGTAATGACTATATCATCTACATATACAATTAAATAAACACATTTTCCTGAAGCAATATAATAAAAAACGGAATGATCTGCTTCACTTCGTTTTAATCCAAAACTTTGAACAATGTGACTAAACTTTCCAAACCAAGCACGTGGAGATTGTTTGAGACCATAGAGAGAACGATGTAACTTACAAACCAAACTAGACTCCCCCGAGCAACAAAACCAGGAGGTTGCTCCATATAAATTTCCTCCTCAAGATCACCATGCAAGAACGCATTCTTGATATCTAAGCTGATGAAGAGGCCAATAACGGATAGTCTGCCATAGCAAAGAAAAGTCGAACGGTAGTCATTTTGGCCACAGGAGAAAAAGTATCACCGTAGTCAAGGCCATAGATCCGAGTATAGCCTTTTGCTACTAATCTAGCTTTGAGTCGATCAACTTCACCTTTTGGTCCAACTTTAATGGCATAGACCCAACGACAACCAACGAGTCTTCTTCCCATGTGGAAGAGGAATTAAGTTCCATGTACCATTGTGCTCAAGAGCACGCATTTCATCAATCATGGCTTGTCGCCATCCAGGATGATCAAGTGCCTCTTTCACATTCTCTGGAATAGTAATAGTGGATACGGAAGAAACAAAAGAAAAATAGGAAGGAGACAATCTATGGTAGCTAAGAAAATTGTAAATGGGATGTGGATTACGAGTAGAGCGAGTACCTTTGCGAATGGCAATGGGCCAACTTGAGTCACCATTATCGGGAATCGTGGTATCGGGGGATGATTGAGAAGGATCTGCGAGGAAGACTCATCTTGGGACATGGGACTGATCATTTGGCTCCTGTGTTGATAGGTAATAAGAGGCGATGATGAGGATTCCGATGTATTTTGTGTGAAATTTTGGGTGTCAGGAGGAGGTACAAATGACTCCACTAAGGGTATAGGTAGGACATTTTGGACTGAACTAATATCCTGCATAGAAGAAGGGAAGAAGGGAGTTGACTCAAAAAAAGTGACATTAGCAGACATGTAGTACTTCTTGGTTTCGGGAGAATAACATCGATATCCTTTTTGAAGACGAGAATATCCTAAGAAGACACATTTGATGGCTCTAGGCGATAGTTTATCTAAACCTGGAGACATATCATGAACAAAACATACACAACCAAATACACGAGGAGAAACATGAAAGAGTGGGTCCTTTGGCAATAGAATAGAGTGTGGAACTTTATTGTTAAGAGAAGAAGATGGCATTACGTTAATGAGAAAACATGCGGTAAGAATAGCATCTCCCCAATGATGAACGGGCATATTTCCACCAAGTAATAAGGTATGAGCGGTTTCAACCAAATGTCTAGTTTTTCGTTACTGCTATACCATTTTGTTGTGGTGTGTGAGGACAGGTAGGCTGGTGTAAAATGCCTTGGGAGCTTAAGAGAGTGGAGAAATCGGTAGAAAAGTATTCTTTAGCATTATCACTTCGTAAAACTTTGATTACTTTTCCAAATTGATTTTTGATTTCGTTAAGGAAAGACTTAAAGATAGGTAATAATTCAGAACGGTCTTTCATTAGATAAATCCAAGTACACCTAGAAAACTCATCAATGAAGGTAACAAAATATCTATAGCCAAAGGATGAGACACGACTAGGACCCCA